GTTTCCAGGGATGAGTGGGGAGGCAGCGCCCTCTGATGGATCTTGTAGGTAGCTGCGCCTTAGCGCCCAGTCTCAATCTTGGCTGCAAGCTAGAATCACCTGATAAGCTTTAAAAATCTCCATATTCAGGTCACATTGCAGACCTGTTACATCAGAATCTTGGGGTGTCACCCAAGTGTCAATATTTTTTAAAGCTCCGCAAGCAATTTTAATGTTCAGTCAAGATTGAGCAATAATTACAGATTAATTTTATATGTGAAGAAATTGTAGTGTAGAATGGAAAAAGTTAACGGTGGAGAATAAAATTCCCCTGGGTCAAATCTTGCCAGTTTTCCACAAAAAGTCAGTCATATGAGACTTGACATGGTTCTAAAAATCCTGGAAAATCTCAGGAGTTGGGAGAAGGTATAAAATACTGTAATTGTCTTGATGACAGGCTGTGTCCAGGTAGGTTCAAAGTCACTGTTGGATCAAGAGTGCTAGTAAAGCGGGAATGTGCTTGAATAACATAAGTTATTTACATTGGCTCCCAGGTTGTGTCCGCTTCATGCCCTCTAACACATCGGATTTTAAACTTGAGCATGCATGAGGAAGCTGTTAATCTGCTTGTTAAAGCACAGATCGCTGGGCCACACCCACCCCTGAATTTCTGAGTCAGTGGGTCCAACAAATTTCCAAGTGACGCCTAGGCTGCTGGTTTAGGACCACACTTAGAGAATCGCTGCTACAAAAAATGGCCAGATCGACACCCGCCTTCAGGTCTGCACCTGCTCCAGCAACATGGGAATCCCCATAGCATCCCAAATAGTCCTCAAAGCATGCATGCAAGGAAGGCAGAATGGTGCTTCGAGTGTGGCATAATGATTTGTAAGCACAAAACACAGGTCAAGTCCGATGTCTCAAGTGCTTCTGGATTGACAGGGTTGGGGGGGATAGGGTGGGGTCCCTGGGGGCAGGGCTTGGATCATGGGCTTTCCCCCACCAAGCTCCAACTCAAAAGGGTCTGTTATAGAGGAGCCCCAGTCTTTGTGGAAGGAGGAGATAGTTTCATTACAGGAATGGGAAGGTGAAGTCCCTAAAGGTTGGGATTGGAGGTACTGCCATTCACAGTCAAGATGCCAGTATTGGGCCATCCATATTGTATACTTGTGGACCTTCAACTTTTTTGCTTGATAATATTTTCTATCGTAAGTTGTGGTAGTTACAAATGATGTATCGTAAATATTGACATCTTTTTAAAAAATGTGTCTGTAAATGAATGTAGTGGACACATATCAGAGCAATTTGATACTAACATTAACCATTTTAAAAATACATGAAAAAACTCTTACCGTCAATGTTAAATTTTATGAGTCCTATGCTCCTGGAAAGCAGCAATGGTGAAGAAATATCTCCCATCCTTTTGTGTTCCAGCAACTAGTTACTGCAAAGAAACATCCTGCCCCATATGACTGTGAAAAGACTCCAGGATTTCCCCATTGTTTACCTATGACGAGTCCTGGCACGGACACTCCAAATTACCATTCTTTGCCTCATTGATGATTAGCTGAACTGCTGGACCCATGGATCAATTGGAATAAAACACTCATTAACCAAACTTTGGTTAAGCTTCTTTTCTTCCCCTAGGTCCCTGAACTATGGCCCACCCTCAGCCAGAGCCAGTTTACAATCCCTCCTTAATGACCCCTCCAGGGAATAGGCTGGCCTTAGGGTAAAACAATCTCCATATCTAATATCAATTTACTTACCTAATAGGATCTGGGATCTGGTCACTGCCATCTCCATATCCTGTTCTTTCTAGCCCCCTTTACTCCTCCCTATAAAGGAAAACCCTTTTTGCCTACCCTTGAGAACTAGTAGAGCATTTTCTCTATTGCAATAAATATCCCCTCCCAAACACCCACCCCCCTAATCCTTTCAAATAAAGTCTCTCCTTCCTAAATCTAGATTTGTTTTTTATTACATGCAACATTCTTTTTTCTTCTTCAACTTACACTTCCATTCAACTTCCACTATGGAGATTTATCCTAGCATAATCTATTTTCATGCTTGGCAATATTTTCTGGAGAACCTGATCATACTTTAATGTCACAAAATTATGTATATCAATTTGAACTTGTTAACTCTAGAAAAATGTCCTGTGACCCATGAGGTTCCACGTGTTATTTTTTTTCCTGGATTGAGACATTGTTGCTATTATTTCTATTACAAGTGAGCAAATGATAAATATACAGCATTTCATTATATGAGCAATAATCTTTACACATAAAAAGTGAGTCTTAATTAGAAATGCCATTGGAAACACGTCTCTTTAGGAGATAGATGGAGCCAGTTATTTTTCATTAAGTTTATAAATCTGGGGATGAATATCACTTTTTGCAAGAATGGGAAAGAGTTGGGCCTTCTGTTTTGTTTTTATGGATGTAAACACTGATAAAAACATTGTTCACATAAAAAGGAGATAGAAGTGGATGGAGTTTTCTCTGACAATGTCAGCTCTTTTCATTTCTGTTAATTATGTAGCCTCAAAAAAATTTTTTTAATGACCCATTAGCTGGCAACATGATTAAATCCTCCTCGGATAATAGCGAAAGCAAAGAATCAGAAACCCACCAGACTTGTAGAAGGGTTTCTTGCCCAGTCCTCAATAATAACCCATATTTCGAGCAATCTTATTGAAACTGATAGGTGTCATTTCAGGTGAGTTCTGAAAAGCCTGGTCCTTTATGTCTCAGCGCAGAAAGAATTCAGCGAGAGGCAAAGTGATAGATAAGAAGTGATTTATTAGAATGGGATGTTTGTGAGGCTTACAAGTGGACAGGCAAGAGGGTGCTACGCCCGAGAACTTAGTGGGAACTTAGATTTATAATCAAAGGGAAAGGGGGGAGGGGGAAAAGACCACTTGCTTCTTCATTCTTTTTTTTTTTTTTTTTTTGCGGTACGCGGGCCTCTCACTGTTGTGGCCTCTCCAGTTGTGGAGCACAGGCTCCGGACGCACAGGCTCAGCGGCCATGGCTCACGGGCCCAGCCGCTCTGCGGTGGCATGTGGAATCTTCCCGGACCAGGGCACGAACCCGTGTCCCCTGCATCGGCAGGCGGACTCTCAACCACTGTGCCACCAGGGAAGCACCTCTTCTTCATTCTTGAGTAGACGTCATGCTTCCATCATCAACTCCTCGTCCAGGTTGGGCAGGGGAGTTTTTTGTCCCTACATGGTCAAGCCAGGACTTTAAAAATTATTTCAGGTCACTGTACAATGAGCACCTTTCCATACTGAGCTCACTGGGCAGGATGTGGGTCTCATGCCACCATTGTTTTATTGTTTGGGGGCATGTCTCGTGCTTCTGTCACATGGTTTTGTGGCTAGGCAAGCCTGCTTGGTTTTGTGGTTAAGTAAACCTGCTTTCTTGAGTGATCATTAATCTTACTGTGGTCTCCCAAAGCCTCCTAAAGTTCCCTATCTACAATCCCCTAATGGGGTTTCTAAGCTGACTATTTAATTATCCTACTCAATCCCTATCATTATTTTTCTTCTTCCCCAAGACTACTTTTATTTCCCAGGGTAATGCCACAGAGCAAGATTTAGAATGTGTGTGTGTGACTTTCCTTTGTAAAGTGGGAGACAGCTGGTTATAAAAAGGGAGAGGGAAGCTGGACTCCAAGGACTCCAGGTCCATTCCCAGGTGTAGTCCCATGGGAGTTGAGGATCTGGTTACTGACTCTCTTAAAATCCTCCTTGCCCCGAGAGTTGCCTCTGACAGAGTCTCCATGTCTGAAAACAGCTACTCTGCATCCCCTTTCCTTCTGCTCTCTGTCGTCTCAATGTTGCCTCCGAAGGAGCTCTGGAATCTGTCCCAAGATCTTTATCCTCTCTACCACTCTGGCCACCAGGATCTTATCCCACCTGAATGTCCACAACCACCCCAACACCCATGCCTCTTTCTCCAGGCCTGGTCCATTCCTTTCCTACTGCAACCAGAGTGAGCTTCCCCAAACGCAAATCTGCTGGTGAACCAGCTCTGGCTTGAATTCCTTCCAGCTCCCCCAAGCCTTCAGGAATCTGAGTAGAAAGCCTTATCCCTCTAGTGGCCTTCTCCTTTGTCCTGCTTCCCTCAAATCTGTAGCCTGGTCAGAAATAGCCAATTTTTGGAACATGTACCCCTGGCCTTCTGAGTACATTTGCGATGCCACTGCTGCTTGCACAATGGAGCTAGAAGGAATCTGACTGCGTTGGTCTTTGTTTGGACCCTCGCTGTTTTCCCTTAATTTCTTGAAATGTCAATTTCCTTAATCGTAAAACAGAAATAATAGTACACATCTCAAAGGGTTCGTCAGATTAAAGGGGTGTATTGCCTGGCACTCTGCTAATGCTCACATAATAAATGCAAACTCATTGTTATTGTTTTTTATTATTCACGTTGCACTGTTATCTGTTAACCTCTGCTACTGCGCCAAACTATGAACAACTAGAGTCCCCAGCGATTGTTCTTATTCTGTGTATCCCAATGCCAAGCCCATAGTAGGAACTTATTACTTATGAATAAAGTATCGCAAAAGGATAACTGAAAAAGTAGCGCCGAAGGAGCAAACCTGACTTTTAAAAATCTTTTTTTTAGTGGCCATCGTGTATATTATTTCACCGAAACCCCTCGACACCCTAGGAGGTAGGAGTTATTCCTATTCTGCAAATGTGGGTGTGTACTCTGTAAGTCAGCCTGCCTTTAGTGGCACGGAGCTCATAGGAGCCCACATCCCGACCCAGGGAGCGGGATGGATTGGACAAAATTGGGAGCAGAAGTGGGCGATAGGAGGCCACGATCCCCTCCAACCACTTGAAAATTTCCCGCGGGCTGGGCCAGCCTTGGGCACAAACCGCACCCCTCTAGGAGTCCCCGCCCCTTACGCTCCCAAGCGCCAACCCGCAGCGAGCCAGGCTCCCGGCCAATCAGAAGAGGTCTTAGGCGGGCGCTGCGGTTCAGCAAGCCAACAGGCTGGCGGCCGGAGCAGGGCTTGCCCGGGCGTGTTGGAGCTGCAGGTTCTCCGGACGCCACGTGCTGCCGTGAGAAGACTCACTGGGCTTTCAGGTGATTTCGGGGACCATGCTGGGGATCGCAGGGTCGGGTAGGCTGGCGCGACGTGTCCCCGGCCGCAGGGCCCCGCGCGGTGTGTCCGCCCCCGGCTTGTGGCGGGGGACGCCCGGGCGGGCCGGCCCGGCCCGGCTCCCGGGCTCCCCAAAGTGCAGGCCTGGCCCCGGGCGCCGCCTGGCCCCCATCCCGCCCTGCTCGGGGTTCTCGGGCCTGAGTGGGCGGCGCTGGGCGATGGGACTCGGCCTGGTGGGCGTCTGCCCGGCCGCCGCGACCAGTGAGTGACCAATGCCTCAGTCCTTCCCTGGGTGAGGCCGGGCTCCCACACGTCACTCCTCGGAACGCCGGCGCCGGGGGAGATCGTGCAGGGCTCTCCTCTGACTGTTCTCGTCTTGTGAACTTTTTAGTAGCACAGGGGATCTTATCGAGCCAGCTTTTCTCAAATTAGGGAGATTATTAGTATCATGGCAAGGGGATGAGGCCGCGCACTCTTTGAAATACAGATTCCAGGCCCCGTTTCCCCAAATGGCAGTTACGAAGGTGTGGAGAGTAGGCCTGGAAATCAGCCTTTTAAACAGACGTTTAAACAGACTAGGTTGGGGAAGCCCCTAACCTAGTTCAGTGCTGGATTTCATAAACCCTCGTTTTAAGTTAGGAGACAGTGCCTTGGTCCAGTTGATATAGCTCTTTAGGGCCAAAGCAGGGTCTAGAACTGCCCACCTTCCTGATCAGCCAGCAGGTTGGTGGCCCTGAGGCCACTGGGAATTCTGACTTCGAGGTTCCTTTGGGCCTTTGCCCAAAGGCCTGGTGACTGCTGATTCAAAGTGCTGGTTCTGGGTTGGAGAGAGATTTGTTTGCCTCACTGAAATACTTTTATTTGAGCAAAACTTCTCCTGAGCTACCCTGAGCTCCATGTGGGAGCCCAGGATGAGGAAGGTGTCCCCTTGATGATTAATTGTTGGTTCTGACGTGTCAGCTAGGTCAGGGCATGTAGAGAACTGCTTTCATCTCTTGCAGCACAGGGCCAGGGCCACAGAGACCTTTTTTCTCAGGGATCCTAATTTCTGGCTTCTTTGAAACCTTGCCAACAGTGTTAGGGAGGCCACCGACCCTTGTCCTGGCCTCAGCTCCTGACCTGTACGGTCCTTAGCCATCTCAGAGAAGGGAAATGGCCCTCCTCCCCTACAAAAGTCAGTTATTAGTGGGTCTCTGTCTAAGGCCTCCCCATTACTGGGCTGAGACAAATTGAGGTTCTGTATTTGTCAGCCTTAATATGTGACTTGTCAATATGAGGAAGTTGATTACAGTTAAGAGCCCTTTTAAAAAGGAGAAGACTTCTTGGGGAAGGGTTAAGCAAGCAGAGGGAGGAAAAGTCAGGATGGGTCACCGTGCCTCCCCCTGGCCCAGGCATCACCAAATGGCAGTTCATCTCCCCTCCCATTTCTCTTAGCCTCTGCTATTGCTCAGATTCGTATGTTCTCCAGGCCTCTTCCTATATGGCAGTTGTGATCCCCCTCACGCTAAAACTCTAGGGAGATTGGTTCCCATCCACCTCTGGATTAAGCCCAAACTTTTACCACTCTCCAGGAACAGTTCTTTCTCACTGTCCACACTGCACCCGTCTCCTCTCCCCTTACCTCCTTGCTTTCCAATTGCTGCACCAAACTCCTTGCTTTCCCACAATGGATGTGCTTTGCCTCCTGGACTTTGTGTCTGTGTTTTTTTCCTGTCTGGATGCCCTTCCCTTCCTGGGCTCCCTGGTAGACCTTTCTGAAACCCTTCAAGGTGTCCCCTCCACTGCTAGGGCTTTTCTAACCTAGCGATTCTGCTTTTTAAATACCTGGCCTGGTGACTCAGGCATGGGTCCTTTGTCCATTGCTCCCATCCTGAGCATACTCTTGTAAGTTCCTGACTATCTCTCTTCCAACCAAACCAGAGTTCCCTGAGGATGTGGTCACTTCCAGCTCTGTAGTCCCCACAGTCTGGCAGATAGCAGGCCTGGTGTCAGCTTCTGGAGAGGATCCGCTCCATGCCAGGTTCCAGGCTGGCTGTAGGGGAAGGGACAGAGACAAACAAAGCTCTCTACCTGCCTTCATAGTGCTCTGAGGTAGGCTGTATGTAACTGTTGACTTTGAAGAGTGCAGTAAATTCTCTGATTGTGCTGCCAGAGCAGAGAGGCGTGAACTTCTTTGCTCCCCAGTTAGACTGTAAATTGTCCGGGGTCAGGGCTACTGTGCCATATTTCAGTGACCTCCCTAGGTGCCTTTGGGGCTCCCTCGCTTGACCCGCCGAGACCAGTATAGGGACACCACCTTGGGGTAGAAAAAGCCACCAGAGTGTGGTGGGCTTCCCAGAGTGCAGGCAGAAGGTGGAGTGGTAAAAAGCGGACAGGGGCAGTTCCTCCAGCCAGGCCTACCTTGTGCCTTACGCCCAAATGGCATCAGGCTGAAGGTGGGCCCCTCTTCCTCAGCCCTGGGGTACTTTTTTCAGGCCTTTGCCCCTAACATGTCCACTGATTCCTCTCCCTTCTACCTGGAGGGCTACTGTTCCACGTTCACGCAGACTTAACCTCTTCAGCCTGTCCTGCTTCCCTGGCACTTCTCACGCAGCCCTTCATACGCCTTCTGCTCCGTTTCTGTCTCTGCAGTGAGACTCAACTCTTGGAGTCCAGGATCTTTCTTTGTAACTCTCTGCCCAGCTCTTGCCACAGTTGGGAACCCAGAGGCCTCAGTGTGACATTGGCCTGTGCAACCCGGAGGATTGTTCCAGAAGGGCTTCCTGGAGGATGTAGAAAGGGTAGGAGGGATGTGAGTGGGAAGGGAGGCAGGAGGAAGGCCTGTGGGTTGGGAGTCCAGGCTGAGGCAGCTCTGGCCTGGGAAGAACTGGTTACCAACCATGAGCAGGGGTCTTCACCTCTGGGGGAAAGGGAGCATATAATACATGCCAGGAGGGAATTCCCCTGTGGTCCAGTGGTTAGGACTCGGCGCTTCCACTACCTTGGCCTGGGTTCAATCCCTGGTTGGGGAACGAAGATCCCGCAAGCCGGGTGGCCATAAATGAATGAATGGATGGATGGATGGCCCGGATTCAATCCCTGGTTGGGGAACTAAGATCCCGTAAGCCACGTGACCAAAAATGAGTGAATGAATGAATAAATAAAATAAAATAAAAAAGCAAATTATTAAAAAGGCAAAAGGGACTTCCCTGGCAGTCCAGTGGTTAAGATTCCGTGCTTCCAATGCAGGGTGTACGGGTTCGATCCCTGGTTGGGGAACTGAGATCCCACATGCCGCTCAGCCAAAATAAATAAATAAATAAAAGGCAAACAATAAAAAGATAAAGTCCTTTAAAATATATATATATATATATATATATATATGCAGGGAGCATATAATATATACAGTTTAATGGGGATTTGGCCACAATTCAAATATACACTAACCAAGGGAAACTTGGGACATGACACTCCTGACTCCACAGAAAATCCCTTTGTTCCTATTAAGAATAGTTGATTCAGGAGTTAAGGATGAGCAGCTAAATTTTATCCAGATGTACTAGGAAATAGCATTTTCATGAATACAGATGCAATTAAAATTGGTCACCTATAAAGATTTTAAAGGCTACATCAAGGTATATAGTCTTGACTAAAGACAGATTAATGAACCAAATGACTAATAATTAGCATTCTTAATAATAGGGTGGGGGAGGGAAGGATTGGGAGTTTGGGATTAGTAGATGCAAACTATTTTGTATAGCATGGATAAACAAGGTCCTACTGTATAGCACCGGGAACTATATTCAATTTCCTGTGATAAACCATAATGGAAAAGACTGTGAAAAAGAATGTATATATACGTGTAACTGAGTCCCTTTGCTGTACAGCAGAAATTAACAACATTGTAAATAAACTATACTTCAATAGAATTTAAAAAATAAAGCATAATTTTAAAAAATATATGCAGATCCTAGCACACATGGATTGTGCCTTTTTCTCTTCACAAGGGAAGGGTAGCAGGGCCATTTTACACGCAAAGAACCTGAAGTTCAATGGTTAGGTAACTTATACAGAGCTGAGTTAGCCCCTGCTCTGTCTACTTCAAAGCGCTGGTTTTCTGGTGTGTTCAAAACATACTGGCTGACTTAGTACAGCAAACAAGATGAGGTTTTCCAGGCTACATCCTTCACTGTTGGGAAGATGCCGGCCTTATTGCATGGGATTTGCAAACCCATGTGAACAACAAATATTTCCTGTGGCAGTGGTGTGTGACAGCATCTCTTTACAACCCAGCGTTCAGGGATGGAGAGCTTGTGGGAGGTACCACAGGAACCCGCAGCACTATAGGTCAGGGCTTTTTCTGTTTCTCTTTTAGAGTTGAGCTGGTTAACCAGCACACCAGTGCCTGTAGGCTTCAGTGATTAAACTACATGTCCAACTGTATTTAAATGTTTGTAGACAGTGTTGTGATGAATGAATTAGAAGAAAGGCATTTAATAGATTACATCATTTTAGTTAACACATACCAAAAATACAACTATTGTGGCCTTCCTGTGAAATATTTTCTACAGGTTTTGCTGTGGGTCTTGCGTTCACATTTCATAAAGTTTTTGTTTTGTTTTTTTTTTTTTAAATAGGATATCATATATATGCCATTTCTGTAACCTTTATTTTCTCATAGCCATACCTCTAAAATGTTTTGATGCTAATGGTATTGGAGGTAAGCTATGGCTTGGAGGTTGAGAGCATGGATTCTGGGTTCACATCAGCCTTTGTCTATGTATTAATCAGGCAAGTTACTTAACCTCTATGCCTCAGCTTTTGTACCTGTAATATGAGGATAATAATGCTTTGTTCAAGTTGTTGGGAAGATTGAGTGATTCCATGTAAAGTACTTAAAACAGTGGTTTTGCAGGTGGTATCGATTGTATGAGTGCAATTATTATTAACATAGGTCCTTGAGTCCACCTGGGATGCTGAGACAAAGTGTAGGGCTCTGGGGCAGCCTGGCAGGAGAGCACTGCAGGGAGGGAAGAAGAGAGAGGGAGGGGCAGGGCTGGCCTGGGACACTCCTCACCCAGCCCCTCTGCCCTATGTGTTCTCTCCCCAGGCTGCTGCCCTGTAGGCAGATTACCTCCCAGACCTCCCTTGCCCTGAGCGGTGAGCTGATTGGGATGGTGGCCCGGGAAGCTTCTGAGTCTGCCCAGTGCCTGTGCCCTTCCCTGGCCAGCCTGAATGCCAAGGATGTGCTTCGGAGGAAACACAAGAGGAAGAGCCGACAGCACCAGCGGTTTATGGCCCGGAAGGCCTTGCTGCAGGAGTATGGGTTGCGGAACACACCCCCGGAGCCAGGATCCTCCCCAGGCACCGAAGCCGCCAGCAGTGTGAGGCAACGTCCAAGGGCTGAATCTGGAGGTGCCCAAGGCAGCAGAAAGCCCACCCCCAGAGAATCTGCTGGGCCCTTGCCCAGCAAGTGCGTGGCTATCGACTGTGAGATGGTGGGCACAGGACCGCGAGGGCGGGTGAGTGAGCTGGCCCGCTGCTCCGTGGTGAGTTACCACGGCGAGGTCCTCTACGACAAGTACATCCAGCCTGAGATGCCCATCGTGGACTACCGTACTCGCTGGAGCGGCATCACCAGGCAGCACATGCGCAAGGCCATCCCCTTCCAGGTGGCCCAGAAAGAGGTGAGGGCAGGGCTGGGGGCTTGGGGGCAGTGTGATGGGCTGGGAAGAGCAGCCCCGGGCCTGAGTCAACACTTAGCCACTACAAGCGAGAGACCATTGGGAAGTTACTTAACTTCTCCAAACAGTGGGTTTCCTCTCCATAGAAAAGGGTGAATAGAAATCCTGCCCTACCTGCGTGGAAGGGGTGCTGGGGTGTCCCACGTGATAGTGTTTATGGAGAGGCCGCGCCAACTGTAAGATGCGAAACAGCTTCTTTTCTGTTATGAAAGCACTATGTGTCTGCCTAAAATTTGTAAGGCTCACAGTGCTGTCACCTTCAGGTGTTAAATGTTTTGGTATTTTTTTAATGTTAGTTTTTCATTGCTTTGAAAAAAATTAGTGTTGGGACCACACTGACATGCCAGGAATTCCCAAACATCCTCGAGCATAGGAAACACCTTAATCCTTATTAATGATCTTGGATCCTTGTCCTCAGATCCCTCCATAGAGATTCTGATCCTGCAGGTCTCTAGGCCTTGGGAGGACTCTGAGGTGTGTGTTCCTAAAAACCGTCATACTGTGTAAACTTGCACGATAAAAACCCCAGAGCTGATGGGGAAAAGGGGTTAGGGACACAATGCCCAAAAAACTTCATTAATGACACCCCAAAAATAAAAAGATAGAAACCTAATAACAGTGGGAGCACAGTTTTGCATAGATTGAGTGGTTGAGAAATGCGTAAGTACAGCACTCTGCCTTGAAAAGACCTGGAGCGCTCGGGGAAGTGGGTGTCAGGGGGGTGGCGGCTCGCACTGTGGGAGGGGTTGAGAGAATTACCTGAAGTCAGGAAGTGGGAAGCCAGGTGCGGGCAGCACACTGGTGAACTGTGCTGGCTGGTAGACTTGAAAGGCGTGGGTGCTTTCTGGATTCCCCAGTGGCTCTGCTCAGCTAGGTGATGTTTCTGCATTCACTTTCGCCCTTCTGTTTCTCAAGGGCGAAATTTGCATTATTCTCAAGTCACATCCTAATATATCAACCGTGTTGGAACATTTTGCATTTTCAAACCAAGCGTTGTAGCAGAACTACTTAACATTTCTGGTTTATTCTTGGGATGAGGTGCATTTAGGAAATACTAATATAAGTCATCTTGTGTCTTCCTTTTTCACATAAGATACACCCTAAGGATTTCTTTCAAAAGGTTATTTATCAAGCAGGTTGATCAGGAATAGAAGCAGCAGGAAGGGAGGTAGGTGGTGAACCCTCCAGCTCCCTGTTGCTTCCCTCAGCCTGCCAAGAGCTGGACCACATTGGATCTGCCTGGACTCGGAGCCAGTGTGGAGTGTGCTGGGTGCCTTCCCACCACGTGGCTTGTGTTGGGGTGTGTGTGTGTTATGAGGGGGTGGTGACTAGAGTGGGGTGGCCCGTCCCTACCACTAAAGTCTAAATGCACCTTATCCATATGCCGTGAAGGCTGAGTTTAGCGATAAACCATGCATCACCAGCAGAGGCAGCTGTGGGAGGCTGGTGGCGGGTGATAAGGAGATGCCCGTGGCCCTGGACATGTCCTCCCTAGGGCCTGAGGACGGCGGGAGGCAGGAAAGAGAGGCGCGCATTGTGTAGCTGGTGAGAGCTGAGCCAGAGAGCATGTTTCGAGGGTGAGAAGCGGGAGTCCTGTACAGCAGAGGGGCAAAGGGATAGAATCCTGAAGATAAGGACCGTTCCATTAATGCTGTAAAAGCTGCCGTTGGTGATATGTCTCCACTGCCTGGCACAGTTCTGGGACTTCACCCTGACACCCTCCTGTGTGCTGAGCTGGCACAGAGCATCACTAGTCCAGGCAGACATGGTTCCTGCGTGTTACCATGAGCTCACAGTGGAGGGCAGCCGGACAGGCCACGCGGAGCTGAATGTGTGCTTAGAAAATGTGGTGAATCCCCCGAAGGAGAGAACAGCGGGGGTCCTGATGGCGTTGGGGGAGGCCTGCTGATGTGTAAGCTGAGACCTGCCATGAGAGGAGTTGATGGGGGTGGGGGGTGCTGGGGGGCTGGCGAGGTCTTCCGGGCTGAGAGAGAAGAGCCTGTGCCGGCAGGAAAGAGTGCTTGTATGGGGTCACTTACCCATCCAAGAGCCCCTTAATGCTCACTACCACCCCACCAATGCCGTCGCCAACTTTCCTGTTTTGCAGATGTGGGGGAAGCTTAAACGGCCCCCTGATTATAGCAAGTAGTGAGTAGAGGGTCTGGATTCAAGCTCGGGGCAACTTGGTTGACAGTGGAGCCCGTGGTCACCCCTCTGCGCTGCCTCACTCCAGAGGGGTCCCCACACCCACTGGTCAGGGTGTCAGGATGTGTCTTGTGCCCACCTGACAGTGGGGCCTTCCCGACTCCTCCTCTGTTCACAGATCCTCAAGCTCCTGAAGGGCAAGGTGTTGGTGGGGCACGCCCTGCACAATGACTTCCAGGCCCTCAAGTACATCCACCCTCGGGGCCAGACCCGGGACACCACTTATGTCCCCAGCCTCCTCAGCCAGCCCAGCCTCCACGCCCGGACCCGCGTCTCTCTTAAGGACCTGGCCCTGCAGCTGCTGCACAAGAAAATCCAGGTGCGTGGTGGTGCAGGGGGGCTGGGGGATTAAAAGGCCTGGCCTCCATGCTGGCCTGGCCACAGACAGGCCGTGGGCTGTGCCTCCAGCCTGCCAGTCCCAGTCCTGGGGCTCCCGCATGTCCACACAGCCCTGGGTTTTTTCTCTCCGTCGCCCTCCTTCCCCAGTGCTTTGTGACAGCCAGCCACACCCTCCCGGGCTGCTGTCTTTCAGATCTGTCTCCCACCCAGTTCCTGGCTCTGTCCCCACGCTTGCATGTAGAACCCCATCTCCTGCAGCCTTCGGTCAGGGGCAGCTGATCACTCTTGCTCCTGCTGTGCTTCACATTCATAATTCCATCTGCTCCTCAAGGCTTTGAAGCAGGGATTTTTTTTTTTTAATAAAGTTACTTATTTTATTTATTTATTTTAGGCTGCATTGGGTCTTCGTTGCTGGACGCAGGCTCAGTAGTTGTGGCTCGCGGGATCTAGAGCTCAGGCTCAGTAGTTGTGGCGCATGGGCTTAGTTACTTCGCAGCATGTGGGAATCTTCCCTGACCAGGGCTTGAACCCCTGTCCCCTGTGTTAGCAGGCGGATTCTTAACCACTGTGCCACCAGGGAAGCCCTGAAGCCGGGATTTTTAACCGGGTTTTCTATTTGAGGAAACAGACTTCAAGAAGCTAGGCTTGTGGTACAGCTGGGATTCTAGCGCTTGTCTGTGTGACTAGGACCCATGCCCTTCTCGCTGTACCAGGCTATACACCCGCATTCTGAGAGTATGCATCTCTGGGCCAGGATCCAGCCCGGGCCGCTGGGCTCCCACCAGGGCTACAGGCAGTGATGCGTGGGCTCTCGTCCGCAGGTGGGCCAGCACGGGCACTCATCGGTGGAAGACGCCGTGACGGCCATGGAGCTCTACCGGCTGGTGGAGGTGCAGTGGGAACAGCAGGAGGCCAGCAGCCTCCAACCCCACCCTGAGGACAGAGAGCCCGACAGCAGCACAGACATGGAGCAGTATATGGAGGACCAGTACTGGCCGGAGGACCTGGCCCAGGGCACCAGCAGAGGAACAGGAGAGGCACTGGGCAGAACGGAGTGAGGGAGGGGAAGCTCCACTGGAGAGCGGGGACCAGGAGAGTGGCTGGGGCCGGATGCCACCAGTGTCCCCCAGGGCCTAAAGTGTTGGGACCATCTGCCCACAGCACAGTCCCCGATTCTGTGGTTTTGCTGATGGCACTTTATAGGCACCATGAAAATGGCAGGTGGGCTAGCTGCTTGAGCCTAGCAGGAGTAGGGGATGCGCCAGCAGACTCCCCACCCCCAGGCTGTGCTGTCTAAAGGGATGATCTCTCCCTCCTTGGGGGTGGGTGGGGTGGGTGTCCCTATTCAAGAATTCCCTTGTCTTGCCCCAGTGACCTGGGGTAAAGCTCTCTTCCTGTTGTCACCATCTACCTCTTCCTCCACAGTCATTTTCAGGAGAATAACTACTCCCTGAAGCTACAGAGTTAAGGTCACTCAAGGGTCATTTTGTCCCTTTCTCTCAGGACTGGAACCCTGGTTGTAGCCATCGTAGGAGCTGCCAGGCTACAATGGAATAGCAGAGACCTCAGCTCGTGGGGAGCTGGGTCTTCACTTGCCACCAGAAGTCACCAGGCACTATTCTGGGAGGAGGGAAGGCAGATGAGCTTTGGGTGGAGACTCGCATATGTATTTTGACCCAAGTCAGGCATTCCTCCTGCCCACCCAACGCTAGGCTCTCTTAAGCAAAAGTCTGAGAGACAAGACAGCGGTTTGAATTCTGGGACCTCTGTGCAGAATTGCCCACAGGGATCTTTATTTATTGAGAGCAAGGCCATGGGTCTGTAGGGGAGCAGAGGGCGGGTCCGCTGGGGCCGGGCCGGGCATTGACAGCTGTGCAGCTGTTGCACTCGGGTGGGTGCCCCCAATCACTGGTGGCTGGGTTTTCTCCAGATTTCTAAAAATGTTCTGTGTCAGGATTCATCCCCTACCCCTCTTTCCTTGTTTCCTAAGGGACAGTTTGGGGGTATTGGGGTAACCCGGAGCTCAGGTCACACAGAACCTTTGAGCCCCATCTTTGTTCACTACTCAATAGCTTTGAGACTTAGGCAAGTGTGTGACTTCACTCTTGAGTCTGTTCCCTCATCTGTAAAATGGGGATAATAACACCACCTACCTCACAGGGTTGTTAGGAGGATGAAGTGCTGAGTGCTTGGCCCAGTGCCTGGCGCCTAGTAAGCCGGACTGGCTGTGTTTTCTTTAAGGATCAGTGTTGGGCTTTCCGGGTAACACCTGAACACACCCTCAGGTTGAGTGGCTTTGACCCAGACAGGACTGTCCTCGTGGCTGTTCCAGCAGGTGGGGCACAGGCTGCTGAGGACAACTCAGAGGTTCCGGGCTCTCACCGTTCCCCGTGATGCTTGGATTTCACGTGAGTCTGAGTAAAGCAGCAGGGCCAGGAAGGGAGAGACACTAAAACCATGCAACTGCAAAAGCAGGGCCGCAGATTGCTCTGGGAGCTGGCTGAGTCACTGACCACGCCTCGCCTGGCTCCAGGACTTTGTTCTAGTTTCCTTAAACGTCCGTAGCTGACGCCACACTCACAGTTGAGAAGTAGCTTTGGTTCTTTGGTCTGTGGGTTGAGGAAGGATGGAACTGCTAGCAGTGGGGAGATGTACTGGGTTTAAAATCAGCTTTGTTGTAAAACCTGGAAAAAAACTCAATTGGAAAGTGGGTGAAGTGGCCTTTTCTTTGAATTCTTCAGCTAGGGTGGGAGGGTGGCTTGGGGGAGGGATGGTGGTGATGCTGGGGTGCTGAGTCTTGCTGGCTGCTTTGACCTTTGAGGTGGGCGGCTTTCAAGATGATGCTTTGGGATGTAGCAAGAAAATACTACAGAATTTATAGTTTATTATTTTTTTTCCTTTATTTTTTATAACATCTTTATTGGAGTATAATTGCTTTACAATGGTGTCTTAGTTTCTGCTTTATAACAAAGTGAATCAGCTATACATATGCATATATCCCCATATCTCCTTCCTCTTGCGTCTCCCTGCCACCCTCCCTATCCCACCCCTCTAGATGGTCACAAAGCACCGAGCTGATCTCCCTGTGCTTTTTGGCTGCTTCCCACTATAGTTTATTTTTGAAAATTTTATAACTGCCCTAGTATAGAGCACAAGTTTATTAAACTTCTTTCTCTTTGAAGGTATATACTTACTTTATGTTTAAAAACTTTTTTTAGTTTTAAATATAAAATACACAATATAAAATTTACCATCTTAGCCATTTTTAAGGGTAGAGTTAAGTAGTGTTAAACATATTCACAATGTTGTGCAACCTGTCTCCAGAACTGTATTATTTTGCGAAACTGAAACTCTATACTCATTAAACAATAGCTCCTCATTCCCTCCTCCTTCCAACGGCAACTACCGTTCTTTCTGTTTTTATGAATTTGATTAGGTACCTCATGTAGGTGGAATCCTACAGTATTTGCCTTTTCGTGTCTGGCTTATTTCACTTAACATAATGTCCTCAGAGTTTGTCCCCAAGGTTGTAGTATGTGTCAGAATTTCCTTCCATTTTAAGGCTAAATAATAATTCATTTGTATGTATATGACACCTTTTGTTCATTCATCCATCCAGACATTTGGGTTACTTCTCCCTCTTGGTTATTGTGAGTAATGCTTCTATGTCTCTCCAGGACCCTGCTTTCAATTCTTTTGGGTATACATCCAGAAGTGGGATTGCTGGACCATGGTAATTGTGTTTGTTTATTTATTTATTTTTGGCCGCGCCTTGGCTTGCAGGATCTTAGTTTCCCCCGACCAGGGATTGAACTCCAGCCCACAACAGTGAAAGCTCAAGTCCTAACCACTGGACTGCCAGGGAATTCCCTGTGTTTCATTTTTTTGAGGAATCTCTATACTGTTTTACACAGTGGCTGCACCATTTTACATTCCCACCAACAGTGCACAAGGGTTCTAATTTCTCCATATCCTCACCGACACTTGTTATTTGTGGTCTTTTTGATAATAGTCGTCCTGACAGGTGTGAGGTGATATACCTCGTTGTGGTTTTGATTTGCATTTCCCTGATGATTAGTAATGTTGAGTATCTTTTTCACATATTTATTGGTATATAGTTTAACACATTCTTTTTTATGTTTTAAAAAATGTATCCCAGGGACTTCCCTGGTGGTCCAGTGGTTAAGAATCCTCCTTCCAATGCAGGGGACACGGGTTCAATCCCTGGTTGGGGAACTAAGATCCCACATGCCGCAGGGCAACTAAGCACGCGCGCTGCCACTACTGAGCCCGCACACCTCATCTAAGATCCCGTGTGCTGCAACTAAGACCCGACACAGCCACAAAAAAAAAACAAACAGTATTCCATAGCACAGTTTGACATGTTTTAAGTTGAACCACATTAAATTGCCGATATTTGACTGAGGTGTTTCCATCTGTGGTATATAATTTAGAAATTCACGTACACATTTTAGGGGTACGTGACCAGCTGAGGTTGGAGACAGTTGAGCTGGATTTCAAAGGGCAGGTTGCCTGTAGGGAGAGGTATCTGACCCACCGTTATGATTCATCCATTCGGCCTGTGTCCTATGCTGGGGGTTCAGAGAAGGCCATACAGTGGCAGCCTTCAACCTGCTACAGGCACTGCAGGTGGGCCAACTGGCAGGATGCGTGTCTTGTAAGGCTGAGAGGTTTGCCCTGAATGACTCACTTTCCCCCTTACCCAAGGAAATTTGTGGATTGGTCTGGCCAATGAGTGACACCAATTAAACCTGGGAAGCATCCCCACTAGGAAATCCCCATCCCATCCCCCTGGCTGGGGTCAGGGATTCCTCTCCTAGGCTGTTACTCACCAATGTTTGTGTCCAACCTCAGCGCACAATACATTTGAAAAAATTCAGTGTGATCCAGGCAGGGTTCCAGGTGCAAGTGGGAGGGGGAACAGTAAGTGAACAAGTACAATATGTGGTATCTCAGATGGCATCAATTCTTATAGAAGAAACCTGGGAAGGGGATGAGGGTGTAGTTTTAAATAGAGGCCAAGAAAGGCCTTGGTGGGAGACCTGAGGGAAAGGGAGAAAACTGGATAGATAACCTGGAGGAAGAGCTTTCCAGACTGGCACAGCAAATGCCCAGGCTCTGGGGACAGAGAAGAAGCCAGTGTGCAGGAAGGAGGTGAGAAGGGGGTGCTAATTGAAGGTGTGGGACAGGGGCTGACCTTGTAGCACGACTGTACATCTCCTTGACCTGAAGGCGCAGACCTGATTATACCCCTGCTAACCCTAGGGCTTAGCACGTGATAAATGAATTATGGAAAGACTGATCTCTTCTGAAGGAGTCAACATGTGAACACATGGAAGGCCATCAATTTAGGTCAAAACCTAAAAAAGAGTCTTAGATTGGATAGTGGTGCAAGATGAGATTGGAAAGGCAGGTGGGACAGATGTAAGAGCGTCTTGGGGACTGTGTGGGAGTTGAGGTTTGTTTATTTTTTTTTTTTGGACAGCAGGAAATCACTAGGTTCTTGAGCAAAGTGCCATGACAGTGTAAGAGATTCGATTTTGGAGAACTTAATCTGGTAAGATTTGAAGGATAATTTAGAGCAGGGCATGAAGATGGAGGTAGGGCAGGTGAGGACTGGGGTAGGATGTGGGTAGAAAAGGAGAAATGCAGAGAAGACTGGAAGATGCAGGTTTGGAGTTGACCACGGAGCAGGTTTAGGACCCGTGGGGAAAAGAATCGCAGGGGTGAGTACGTGTTCTGTCTGAGTCCTGAGGTGGCCAGTGGAAGAGAGGGGGTGAGGCCTGTAGTGGGGATGTTGATGTGGGCCGATCACCAGAGGGTGCATGGGGTCCTACGGGGACTGTAGAAACAGAAACCTCCAATTGGATCTTTAGGGGGTTACCTTTTCAATGCATGTTCATTTAAAGTAACGGGAATTTTGCTTCATCTCCCCCTAAATCAGGGTGACAATCCTTTATGCATTTGAGAAACAAAAAATTCCCAGACAGGCTGAATTCAAGAAAAAGTAGCTCATTCAGAATGGGAACCCCAAATAACCTCTTCTAACTCAACTTCCCACCAGTTGAGCAACAAACAGGAACAATGACTTATCCTTTAAACGTACGTCAGTATCTGGTTTTCTTTTTGAGGTCTGTTAAATGAATCTGGATGTCACTTGGTGAAAACACCGAGAACCTGGGGAAATTCCTTTCCAAGCCACAAATCTTTGTGACAACGGGGGGCTGTCAGATTCAGCTCGACAGCTCAAAGCTTGTTCCATATGGATCTGGGGTAGGAGGCAAGATGGGAGCGCTCAACTCACCACAGTATATAGTGGACAATTTCCTCATTAAAGCTGATTCTATTTTTGCCCCGGATGTAACTCATTCATTTATTCAATAAATGTTGAGTGCTCCCTATGTGTTAGGCATTGTTCTAAGGGGTCAAAGTTCTAGCTTGGGAGAGCGTTGCCCCTGGGAAATATGGCCGGGCTGGTGGGGCTCCCTCCAGGCCTGCTTCTCCTTGTCCTCAAAACAGTGTCAGTCCAGCTGGAGGCAGAGCACGTCGAGGGCAGACCAATGACCCTTTCTGAGGCATCCCTGAGCCAATAGGGCTTTACTGGGTCGGCAGTGAGGGCTAGCCCCTCTTGCACCCCAACCTTCTCCTGCCCTTCCCAATCAATAACCTCAGTGTCCCAAGAGCCAGCTCTCCCTGCCCCCATAAAAGACCTCACAGGGGGACTTCCCTGGTGGTCCATTGGTTAAGACTCCATGCGCCCAATGCAGGGGTCTCGGGTTCGATCCCTGGTCAGGGAACTAGATCCCGCATGCCACAACTAAGAGCCTGCATACCACAACAAAGACCTGGTGCAGCCGAATAAATAAATAAATAAATATTAAAAAAAAAAAAAAAAAGACCTCACAGAGTTGTCAGATTGGTGGTGGCCCTGGAAGTTGTGGGACATTCCCTGGGCTCCAGTCCTGGGGATGTTTATTCCCCGGGCAGAGGGTGAGAAATGAAAGACAGATGTTGCAATCCACTCCATGCACATCAGCTGCGTCATCTGAGGAGGGGGAGGGCTTGAGCGATTAGGTGGAGGGCAGGGCCAAAGGGACACCCAGACAAGGAGCCGGCAAGCTTGGTCAATTCTGACTCGGGACACTGAGCTCCCAAGCCGCCCGAGGAGATGAAGCAGCCCAGTCCACGTGCCCCGCCTCCCGCCCCTGATTTCACTTGATACCAAACCAGAAACTGAAACAGGGTCAGGATTCCCGGCTTGAAGTCAGAGATGAGTCACTGCTAAGAGCAACTGCAGTAGCTGAGAAGGGGCACCGGAGAGGCAGGCCGGTAAGAGTGGGAGACAGGGTGGTGGGTTCAAGGCATTTCTCTGGGGTAGCAGCCAGGGGAGGTGCTGGGAGGGGATATCCTGGTCCTGAGGCTGCTGGGCAGGACCGGAGAGAGGCCCTGGGACTGCCGGCTGAAGAAGCCAGTTGGGGTGGCAAGAGGCCAACTTCCGTCTGTGCCAGGTGGTGTTTGTGACAAAGGGCAGGGCAGAGGGTGTAGGCTGGCTGGGAGGTGGCTGAGGACGCCTGGGGTCTCAGCTGGCCCTCATGTGATGCCCCTCCTGCCGCCCCCTCTCCAGCACATCTGAGGGTCCCGGTGGAACATGGCAAGAGGCACAGATGTGGTGGCCGTGGACTGCGAGATGGTGGGGCTGGGGCCCTTCAGGGAGAGTGGCTTGGCTCGCTGCAGCCTCGTAGACTACCACGGCACCGTGCTCTACGACAAGTTCATCCGGCCTGAGAGCGAGATCACCGACTACAGAACCCCCGTCAGCGGGATCACGGCTCAGAACATGGAGGGGGCCACCCCGTTTGCCGTGGCCAGGCTGGAGGTAAGAGAAGGGCCATATGCCATCCAGGCCAACATACATATACCTCCCCCCCACACACACACATACACACTTCCCCAGCACCTCCCCTGGTTGCCG